AGGATATTTTGGGAATGGAGCACGCAAAATAAACTGTGAGTGCCCAATGGGAAATCTGTACTTGTTTTCTGTTTGAGTCTATGAATTCCTCCATATTGATCAAACTCAGCTGGATTGCACTGCTCTTAATGCCTCAGACTGAACAGGGCACGATGAGATTGTCAACCCTTCAAGGCCCGCATTTTGTTTGCCCATTTTGTGGTACTTAAGTTTATTCCCTGTACTGGACTCCTTCCCTTCCTCCCACCACCACCTAGTCAGCGACTTCTCCTTTTCTTTACCTGAATCTTCTACATCCTACCTTTTATTTCCCTAAGTCACGTCTGCTTCCCCTCATTCACTGTGTCCCCTGAAGCTTTGTGATCCGCACAAATTCTCCCATCCCCCTTCTCTGATTTTCCATTTCTGATCATTATTTTGGATCTTCTGTTCCCATCCAGCATGAAATGGTTTCTGCTGGCAGAAAGACACAGCAGCTTTACTGAATGTTCTCAGGTTGCCTGAGATTGCTTGATAACAAAGAAACTGCAATTTCTGATAGGTAATGTTTTCAGATCTTAAGTCTTGAGCAGCCATAGGGCAGAAAAGTTCTTCCTAAAGGCATATTCCCTTATATTTATTACTGGCCTGAAACACCATATTTATGAGGTACCAATGAACCTTTACCACAGTCTCAGTGTAATCTGGTGCTGTATTCCTTACACATTTTAAAAAATGTTTTTCATTTAGAACATAAAAATTTAGCACCATGCACAGAAAAAGCCTTTATATTGTAGTTATAGACAGGAAAAGACAATGAGATAGAGCATACATTCTTACATATTCAGTGTTTATTTTTACATTGAAAGCTATTACTGTTTTTTCCTGATATTTTTTGCTGGCAATAACTGGGTAAAAATATTTTATTATGTAAATGATATACTTCTAGCACAGTGTTTTAAAATGAAAATTACCTGTATAAAAGATACTTTCCTTCATTGTATATAAGCAGCTGGAAATCGGTTTGAATGCATATGCAGCTAGTGGTCACAGTAATTTTCATGGAAGCAGGTTTGCTGTAAGTCTAGGTACTGTTCACTTCAGTTATGGTTTCATAAATGTTGGACAATAGGAATGAAAAAATGCTATAGTAAATGATGGATAAAATCAAAAGCTAAATGCTTAAGTGTAGATATTTAGAATTCTACAGTCAATTCTCTAATAAACGTACGTGTTTTAATGAGATGTGGCTCTTTAATTCCCTTTTAAAAACTGAAGACTCCACCCTAAGCTGATAATTTTTCAGCCTTCAAGTAATAACAATTATATAAGTTAATACTTCTGTTGACATGAATGCAAGGAAGGAGTGTGGGGAAATTAACACTGTAGACAAATAAATGTCTTGTGTAATTATTCTATTCTTGGAATCTTTCACTGGAGTAAATAGGTTAAGTTTTTCAATGCTAATAGCTGATACAACCTCCATCATAAAGCTTTCTTCATCTGAAATTAGGTGATGAAATTTTCTCCCCCTGTTTAGCAATGAGAAGAAGCCCCTTGCTATAAAATGCCTCAGCTGAAGTTGTTTCTTTTTACTCATAAAATGTAGCTTTTGCATATACAGTTGAGAAGGTGCAGAATCTTATAGCCCTCCTGTGTTTAATTGTTTCTGCATGCCCTGGAATTTAAAGAGAATTTAGGATGTGTTTGGCAGTAGCTTCCCCTCTATAATCAGGTTGCTATGGTAAACCTATTATTCTAGACAAAGAAAGTATGTTTAGTGAGGTGCTGATCCCTTTTCAGTATAATGTGAGCTTCAAGTTACTTTTGAATGATTGAATTTGTTTTGTAGGTATTGATTGTATCACTATAACTAAGAGAAGGTCACAGAACAAGGTGTGGTTTCTGCTATTTTGGTAGTATATACACCTGGCAAAGTAGTAGTATGGCTGAAGCAAACTTACCCTGCAGAGATCTTATACTGATTTTTCCCAGGGAAGCAATCTGAAATTTGTTGTCACAAAATGTTATTAATTTCTGTGTTGATGTATATGGTGATAAAATGAGACTTCAGAGTTCATATTTGCTACATCATGTATGTCTGCCCTGCATCCTACATAGATTATCTGTTCAGAAACAATAGGACTTTAATTGTCTGTTAAATTATTTCCACAGAATAAGACCACTTTACTTAATCTAATCAAATCTCAGTACTTGTGAGAGTAAAAGGTACTTTAAGCCTAAAGTACTAAACTACTATAACTGTATCTTTGAATATTTAAAACAAGGAAATAACTTGGAGAAATCATTTTCCAGAGTACTTACTGACAGGTTTCTGTCCATTTTCAAGACACTTTCAGTTCTGCTGAGGTCCACAGTCAGATGATCTAAATCATACCCTGAACCTAGGTGGGAGCCAACTGAAATAAAATATGAGGCACAAACATCACCATGGAATTTAGGGTTTTTGAATCTATGTGTTGGTATTTTATTCATTAGCTCAGATGAGAAGACTGAAAAAGTAGGGCCTAAATCCCTTTGTGCTTGATGGAGAGGACAATCTGAGATTGTACATATATATGACAAAAATGTGCCCCATCTGCCTAGGAATGGGATGTTCATCAGCTTTTCTTGCTGGTGTATCTGTTGCACGTTAACTAAAATGAATAAATATTAATTGCAGCAGGGACTGAGAGGAGCCTGTTCCCATTCCAGTACAAGTGCCCAGCCACTGGGCTCTCAGGTCATTCTGACTTATTAAATTAAGCATTACAGAAGGTAGTGCTTAATTACAGAACATGCAGGAGCCTCATTACAGAACCTTCCTATGGCCCTCTGGAGGATTTTCCATCTCTGCCGACTCCTCTCTTCAAAGCAACTTATTTAAACTGATTTTATTGTCCTTCAGGCATCCTCCTTGGTACAGCATTAGTTGGCTCAGGATACCACTGTTAAGGATGGTTCTTTTGTTTATTTTATAGAGTCTTCACAACAGATAGGTCCTGTTCATCAGGTACCTATCTGCTTACAGGTGACTGTGCTCTGGGACAATGCTAAGTGACATTTTTGTACAAGTAGCAAGCTTGTCTAAGGTGTATGCATAGAAAGAGACTGTGAGAGCCCCAAATAGTAACAAGTTGGACTCATTAAAAATCTCTGTATATTTAAATACTAAGGAATGATTTTCTTTTTCCCCCAGTTTCTAATGTAGCTGTTCTTGGTAAATAATTGTAGGTTAGTGAATGCAGGCAAGTAACATCAGTCATTCTACAGACAACCATATCTTAAATGTTGACATGGTTACCGAATACAACTGTGATGTGGTAGATGCATTTCCTATCATAAGTTTCTTTGTGGAGTGATTATTCTTGAGTAATTGCCAGTGCAACTGTTTTAAAAAAATATATATTATTAAGGGATAATGAAGTATTTGCTGTTAATGCTCTCTGTCAGCATGTCTTTTATTAAGATTCTTGCACTTTAAACTGATCATAAAATGTCCTTCTAGATTGAATCCTGGCACATAGAATGTCAGCTCAAAAGTGCATTGTACAAGTACACTGCTGCTTGGGAACATGAAGAGTAGGGCAGCTATAAAATGAGCTGATGATTTTTTTCCATAAGTAATAAGATTTCTCCCTACACCAACATAATTAGACTGGAGTGTTTTTTAAAAAAATCAACAATTGTAACCAGTGAAGGTTAGAAGTTTCAAAAGAAAAAGAAAAAAAAAAGAAAAAGGAGAGAGAATAAGAATAATTTGGCAGCATATGTTGACCTAAAAGGTTTTATTGTCACAAAACCAAGTGTTAGAAAACCCTTACTAAGGGTCTCCTTAACAGTCCTTTCCCATTCAGCAGAATGTTTCAGCAAATGCTGAAAATACTCTGAATGCTGAACTCTTTGGTCACATAATGAAAGGCTGCACTTGGGGGATTTATTTTTTTGTTTGTAGCTATGGTTGCTCCTACTGTAAATTTGGGTTCTGTAGTCAGTAGAGCAGTGTCCAGGCTCAGGCTGAGTCTCACTGGCGCTGTGATTAAGTTGGATTGAGAGGAACAGGCTTTTCTTCATCCTCTTCCATGTCTTTGGTGGCCCTTTATTACGCACAGAGTCCTTTTCCAAGCTCATCAAAAGTACTACTTTGATCCACAGTTTGTGTCATTTTTAGGGTATTCTTACAGTATCATTGCATTAAAGAAAATTAAAAAAATACAGGGGCAAGCTCTTAGAAGTTAGGAAATAACTAAACCTGTTATCCTGTTATCCTGTTTGGGATAACTCAGTGTTATCCTGAGCTGAGTTTGTCTCATATAGGCACAATGCAAGACTGTCTTTGGTTGTTGTTTTTTTCCCCCCACACCTGACCATTCAATACCCACTGCTCTGAGGAGTTTGGTGTGGAAGATATGTGGGAGTTTAAAGGAGTCTCTTCTGACTTCTGGGGAGTTCCCTTGTGAACAGGTTGATGGGAGGGAAGGCTCTGACAGAGGCTGTGTTTTCAAATTCTATTTCTTCAGATCTAGACAAGAAAAATTATAGGGATTTTTGCTTCCCAAATGCCTGAAGAGTATTTGAAGAGTTATGTTTCTCCATGAATAGAAAGCATCTTCAATAGCCCTGTGCATAGACTATTTAATTCTAATTACATTCATGTTGGAGTTCCTGAGATGTGCTTAATATTTTAGATCAATTACAGAGGTTAATTGTGCAGTTAAGCATGTGCCATAGCTCTGTTATGCAAAGTTGAGATATGAAAAACATACAATGGCAATTATTGCTTACTGTTGCTGTTTCCATCAAGATAAAACAGTAATATCCTTTGCTTGTTGCCATGGAGAGGGAATAGTTGGTTTTGTTTGTTGATTTTTTTTAATAGTGTTTATGTGCATGCTTTAATTAATACACAGTGACTTGTAATTTGCTTTTGGGGGGGTGAGGGCATAGAATAAGTTTGATTTATTCCTTCAATTATTTTAGTTTACTGAAATCATGACTGTAACAATTATTTATTCTTGCAGGGAGTTGTGAATGTGGCCAATGCACTTGTTTCCCTCCAGGAGACAACAGAGTTTATGGCAAAAACTGTGAATGTGATGATCGGCAGTGTGAAAATGTGGACGGCAACGTCTGTGGAGGTATGTATTCACATAACACAATATATACAAATCTTGACAATTTATAACTTTGTTCCCTCTGATTTTGTAACAGAATGTCACTATATTGACATTGATTAATTATAACAGATTATAGATTTTTGAGAGAAACAAGCTCCGTGAATGTTGAATGTTAGTGAATATTTGCTTTAAAGCTTCAGAAACACTAACAACAAAGTAGATTAAATACACCTAATAGCGTAAATGTAAATTCTGTAGTATAACCCAAATTCTGTAAGTGTTCATTAGAGATGAATAGAGGCACATAAAGAAAAATCTGAAAAATGAGGTAAATTTACTTTGTGTTTAGTACAGCTGATGTTTTACTGAGAATATTGTATTTTATCTAAAAATAATAATGACAACAATACTTTTCAATGCTTCATATTCGCTGACAATGATATGTCTGTTTTCTAAAAAAGTAGTAAAATTTATTATGGAAGAATCTAAAATGCTTGAGGTATGTTGTCATTTTAATTGTACATGCAGAAGCTTTATTTTACTGTTGACAGTGAAAACCTCATTTTTGATTTTTTCAGTAATATGCTGCTGTTAAGCAGCATTTCAAGTTACTTTTAGATATGTAAATGAGTATACACCAGATGGTGTTTTAAAAACAGGTGAGTAGTATTTGTCTTAAATGCTCTCTTTCTAGCTTTCATTGGCTTTATTTAAAAAATTACTCTTTAATTCTTAATATTAACAAAATTGTTGGTACATTTTATTATATTCCTTATTTCTATGTAAGGAAAAAAGCATATTGCTTCATAATCCTGTGTACATAAAAAAAAGTCTGACTAAAGGGAATATTTCTTCAAGGTGTTGGCTATGCAGAATGTAGGAAATATATGGAAAATTCTAGTTAGAATGTTGAAGCTGCCATGATAATAATTTGTAACACTTGGTGTATTCAGTAATATGAATGTGTATAAAAAGAGTTAGAAATTTAATTTTGTATAAAGAAATAAAGGCCGATACAAACACTGAAAAGCTAGGTTCTATTTGTTATAAATTAAGTAGTTGGGAACTGAAGAGTCATCATTCTCCATGGTTAAAAATACCTCTCCCGTTTATGTCATTCATATTTTACATTATTTGATGGCAATGTTTTAGTGTTTATATTGCTAATGCTGTTGAACATTTTTTAAATTATAAACAAAAATTCTGTTGTTCCTTATTAGAAAGGATACAGTTTCTGGCTAAAGTACCTCTCACTTATATGAAGAATCACCTCAACACCTGACCAGTGCCCAACTTACTACTGTGGAGGAGACACACTGTTACCTAAATAAGCTCTCCCCTTTATTCTAAATAGCTTTGCCCAAAAGAATGGTAGAAATTAATCAATTATTTTAACCCCATACACTTTAAGCTTATTTTCATAATTTTGAAACAACAAATAAAAAGGAAAGCCAGTTTGTGAACTGTATTAGTCTCAGGCTCCGTTTTTTCACTTCCATTTAAGCTGATAGTTTAGTTACTAATGATTATCTGGAGGTGAAAGGAATGATATGATAAAATGCATTTCGAGTGACTGCCCTGTTTGAAATTGCATTGCACAGCATCTAGTGACAGGACTTCTGAAGGCCCGCCCTTTTATTTTTGCTGGTACAGGGAGCTGAGATTATTCCCAGTTCTTTCCCTGAAATCTTAGGATAAGCTCCAAATCAGGAATCATGTTGTCCTGGGCTTTTTTTGTGAGTAAGAGGAGAGGAGGAAATGTGGCACTAAGTGATTAAATCCACCAAGATCTAAGCTGACCTCTGAAGTGCTTCAAGGAAGACTAGAGCATCTTTGCTTACTTGCAGCTGTCTGAACTTGGTGAGGTGATGCTGGTCCCTGGAGTTTTACTCTTCCCAGTTAGAAGTCATGCCACTACTAATACTGTCCTCTAAAATTGTTGGATATCGGTAGTAGATATGTTGGGATTCCAGTGGCAAATAATTGGCAAATTAGTTTTTCATGTTCTTGATATTTTATTTCTTGTGCTATTTCAAAATATAATTTGAGGTATTTTAAATTTATTCTAGATTTGGTTGTAATTTACTCCCTGAAGCATGTTTCTATGTTGTTGTTATTTCATGTTTCTATTTACTTTCATTCTTTTACAGAATCCTCTCTCTTCTCATGCCACAGAAATGATTCTTTGCACTTGTCTGCTTTGCCAGTGGGAAGTGCACTGAGATTGAGATTAACAAATACAGATGTTTTACTAATCATGTGGTTCTCTTATATACACCATTTTTCCTTCTCTTGGCTTTCTTTCCTTTCCTGTAACCTTGTTTTCTTTCACCATCCAATGTCCATCTGTATTTCTGATCTACTTCTCTCCAGACTACCCCTGACCCTCATAAGTTAAGGCAGTACCTATTAAGGTATAAGTACTTAGTACAAGAATGTTTACCTTCAGAGAATCCCCATCAGTTTCAGCTTTCTGTTCACTCACCACTTAGTAAGTGAATTTCCCTTACTTCCCGTCACCTTCAAACTCATAATATGAGCCATTTACTCCTTTTGCATTTTCTGCTACTTCATCTTTCACTCTAGCTTCTACCAGCATTTTCTTTTAGATGCCTTTTCCCACAGTTTCTGACCAAATGTAGGAATTTCTGCCATTGTTATCCTTTTCAGATTCTCAATAGCCTCTGATGTTACTGATAGCTTCAACAATCTATAGCAATTGTCGGATGTTTTGCTTGGCTGTCATTTTGTACCCTGATAATACTTTGAATACTTCCTTTGATATTTTGCACATCAGTCTTATCAGGAGATTCTACCAATTTTAACCTTATTTTCTTTCCTTTTTGCAACTTATCTATCTACAGAACTTCTCTTATTAATTTGGCACACACATCTCTCTTCCTTTCAGGTTTGTTCATGCTTCCATCTCAGCCTGACCCTCTTGACATCTCTTGCTGAACTGCTTATTCCTTCCTCTTTCCTTCTATTTTCATTACTATTTTTCTGCCACTGTTGCTATCTAGGCAATCACTGTCAAGCCTTCAGAGGATTGTAAGCTGGACTCTGTGAAAGTGCAGGGTGTGACAGTGAGCACTGAGTACCGGTAAACACAAGAAAAGCCGACCAGTGTTTTCAGATCAAATGCATGCTGAAATGAGAAATGTGAATGACAACCTAAATGCTTTGAATGAAAATTGGTACTGGCCTCCTCTGACCAGCAGAGATTGATTAATAGCTTGCTTTCTAGACCAGCTGTCCATGCGACCGTAGGAAGACATGAAGCAAAAGATGTGATAAATTAGGGTACAACTGAGTGAGACCTTATTACCATGTTTCTGCATGATTGTAGTGAGTCATTCACTTAAAAATTCAGCTGTCCATCATTGCAATACCAGGAATAGAAACATTGCTTCTCCACAAAGACAGAGGTTGCAGGAGGACTGGGCATAGATTTCACAGCACTCTGCTATTAGAAATGGATCTATAGAATCATAGAGAGGTTTGGGTTGGAAGGGACCTTATCATCTAGTTCCAACTCCCACGCAACAGGCAGAGATGCCTTTCACTAGACCAGGTTGTTCAAAGCCCCATCCAACCTGGCCCTGAACATTTCCAGGGATGGGGCAGTCGCAGCTCCTCTGGGCAATCTGCTCCAGTGTCTCACAACCCTTATTGTGAAAATGTCCAAGATAAACCTATCCTCTTTAGGTTTAAAACCATTGCCGCTTGTTCTGTCACAACAGGCTTTGGTAAAAAGTCTTTCTTATTAGCCTCATTTACTAATATTGAAAGGCTGCAATAAGTTCTCCCCAGAGCCTTCTCCAGGCTGACAACCTAAACACTCTCAACCTTTCTTCGCAGGAGAGGTGTTCCAACCCTCTGACCATCTGGACTTGCTTCAACAAGTCCCTATCTTTCCTGTACTGGGGACCCCAGAACTGGATGCAGTACCCCAGGTTGGGTCTCATGAGAGCGGAGTAAAGAGGGAGACTGACCTCACTCAACTTGCTTTCCAGGTTCTTCATTCGTGTTTCCCTTCCTTTATTTGTGCCTCTGCACAGAGACTCGATATGCTATAGCTGGATAAAGTGTCTCATTGCAGCCTTTTTGAGATAAATATGTTCTAGCTAGAGGCCCATTCCCTACAGCTGTTTTTTTTCAGTGATGTAAGTTTTGCCCAGGTGTATTGTAGTTATTGCAGTATTTAACATCATGTTTTCTTCAACTCTACTTGGTTCTTTGAGTCTTTAGTGTGCAAGTTAAGTGCTTTTGGTGCACAAACATGACTGGAGAATCACAGGTCACCGGCATTAGTTCTTTCTTGGCACAGCTATGTCACTGATGTACACCAGGCTTGATATTTACTTACCTTACTGCTCCTGATGAGAGATATTTTTCCCTGTCCTCTGAGGTTCTGGCTGTGCTGCTAGCTGCAGGTGTGTCCTGAGCTTTCAAGTGTTATTTGTTCCCCTACTGTGACCAGTCATTGATGTCATTATTGGCTGCTCCACCTCACTGGGTGACTGTTGTCTGTTATGTTCTGTTCTCTTTCAAGATTGAGGGCAGGCAGGCAACAAGAATCCAGAACAGCAAAGATCAATTTGAAATTGATTTGGTAATGCTTTTAATGCCATTCATTTTGATTTGTGCTCAGGACCATTATTGGCCTATTGCCACAGCAAAGTATCAACCACTGAAAGAATAAAACTGAAGCCTTTTTGGGTCTTCTGCATGCTACATGTTGCTGCAGGATTATGATGCTTAAAAACTCTACAACAAAAGCAAACCAAACAAATCCAGTGAAAATGGTTGAAGTTCCACACAAGTTCGTCACTAGGGCCACTAGCAAAGGTTGAAACTCGTAACAGGCAACTCATTCCTTGCACTAATATTGGTTCACAGAAACAGAAGTATATAGGGCATTTATGGAACTCTCAAATATACCTAAAATGCAAATTAGGAGAGGAAGGTAATATCAGCCTATCGCCCAGCCAAAGACAGCTTTTGGCACTGACCAGTCT